AATGATGCACAAACCAGCATTTGTCTCTTGAGTCAGAACTGTTAAGCGGCTCCAGGGCAGTTTTTCAGTATTTTATTGTCTCTGCAATTTTGTGAAAACACAATTATACAAACTAGAGCAGATTCCCTCGCTACATCAAGACTCTGTGTAATAAAAGCACATTAAATGTGAAACAGATATGACTATAATCTGCTCTGAAACACCAGTGGGTCTAACACTGTTAGCAGATGGCAGACTCTTGTTAAACTACAAGACATTTGCACAAAATTAGAAAGGGGTCATTGCTTGACGATGTCCCATTAAACATATTGAGCTCCCAGCAGTGAGTGTAACATTTTGCTCAGGAAAAAAATCTGCTAATAGAAGTCGTATTGCAACAATTCATCACTCTGTGCCGCAGTGCTACTTCTGAGTAGTTGGACAAAACTCGTAAAAACGAATAGATTTCTTAATTAAACCTTGAAATTCATCCTGAAACACTTTGTCATCCAGTTTAGTATCATCTAACATACTGTATATTGCTACAGCTATCATCCACTTCATTTTTAATGGCAAAGCAGAGCATAAATTGGGTAGTTATAAGCAAGCATTTTGGTGCCAGAGAAACATTTCACCTCTATCTGGAATGAGAGGACTGTTCTGGGATCTGTCAGTGTTGATCTGCCCTCCAATAACTCACTATTAAGCATCTGCTGCCGATCAGGAGGGTCCGGCTAAATCAAGACTAGCAGACTCATCTGCGAGTCCCCCCCGGGCTCAACTTTATATCTTCAGTACATATGCAGGGCGATACACGCACAGACACAGTACGTTTTGGATAAAAGCAAACAAAGAAAAACACTGCAGGAGCATCAAGAATAACTAACACAACAGATAGTTTATGTATTTATTCTGTTTATGCGGTGTGTTGTCTTTTGATGAATAGGTAGAGATGAGCAGCATTGTATCATTTGTCATACAGTAACACAGCAGTTTCCAACCTTTCCTGCTTGTAACCTCTTCATAAAAAAATACCTTAATAACTCTTAAGCCATGTGTTCTTGAAATCAATCATCTAAAAGTTGAATTTCTTTGAATGGGGAATGTGTTTTCAGATTACTTTGTTTGTTTAGAGGCCTGAAGTTATTTCCCCCTGGGATTATTAAAGTATTTCTGATTCTGATTCTGACTAAACAGGTAAAACTCAATGAATTATTATAAAAATAAAGGTGAGATTCCCCAAAATTTTGAATAATCTTTTCATCATTACCCCTTAGATTCATCTCATGACCCCTCGTGAGGAGGTCCAGACCCCCAGGTTGGGAACCACTGCAGTGATAAATGATGTAGCCAGAAAAAGAAAGCTACATCATTCCTGTGACTGAGGCGCAGTAACAAGTCAAACCATGAAGGTTGTCACATGTGTAAAGAGCCTTTCGTAGAGATCAAATATTCATCAGTACATTTTTCCTCTAGTTCTGTCTCCAGAGAGCAGAGCGCTTGCTGGTTGGACTGATGTGATCCGCTGAGCCAGAAAACACTGTGACCTTCTGAAATCCGAAATGGAAACACACTGCTCGTGCTCCAGCTCCACGCTGCAGGTCACGGATTGGTTAATGGAGGTGCAGTCCTGAGAGGAGCAGCGCTGTCTAATCTTCAGCTGCACGCCGACAGTGAGGAATGACAAATAAATGAAACCGACTCGTCCGACTGAATGTGCGACGAACATGAACATAAAGACCTGCAGTAATTATGCTGAGAACTGAACATAAGGATCTCTGCGCCTGTCTGAGATCTGTTTTCTCGAGGGGGGGTCCTGAGTTTGAACTGTCGCAGTGCATCGTTAGTGAATGTTAAATCTATCTGTAAATTAGTTAATTAAGAGAATAAACTGAAGAGCTAATGCTGCAGAAAAAAAACAACTCAGCAGTGCAACTAAAAACTGGAAACAGGGGAAACAGGAAGCCTTATACTACCTTGTTTTGCTGCCAGGCAACCAGTGGAGAGTCCTGGAAAAAAAACTAAAAACACATAACCCCCCCCCCCCATAAAGCCACAATATATTGTTTCACACTCTGCAAAGTGGACAAGCAATGAGATTTAACAAGTTCATTAGACTTAGGAGGTGCTGGTAGGCAGATCTTGGAAAGGTTTCCGCCAGGTTTCAGGTCTTTATGCTAAGCTACGTTAGCTGGCAACTGATCGTAGCTTCGTGTATCAACACAACAGTGGCATCAATCTTCTCATCCAACCCTCGGAAAGCAGGAACAAGCACCTTCCCAAAAATGTTAAACGTTGTCTAAAGGTAATTCCTAAAAACCGGACCTTTAGAAGGTTAAGTTGTGATGAAGAGCAGAAAGTAATGTTATGACAGATGATATCAAATCAAATAGTTGTGGTAATCTAGCGTGTTTAACAAAGGGTGCCACTAATGCACGTCCCCTGAAAACACTTTTCAGCTTCAAACATCCCAAACCGAAGCTTTTAATCCAACCTGTTCTTATCCAGGGTGCAATGTGCTCAACAACTGTACACGTTATCGGTCGTCTTTGAAACATTATTCTGAAGGAAAATGTTTTCTGTGTAAATCAAATGAATGAATCCACTCAGCCCAGACAATACCATTCTTACAGCAGATCTGAAGGTGACTGACGTCCAAAGGGAAATTCTCTCTAGATTGCTCATCAGCACCGAAGCGCGGGCGGGTTTGTTCTCAGCCGCGGAGCGTTTAATAGATCTACTCTAGGGACACAGATAGCCCTTCCACTGATGCATCCTGGGTGGCTGCCCTTGAATCAAAGTAGGTTTGCGTCTGTTTTTTTTTTATAGATTTAATGAAGTGGGAGTAGAAAGACATTTGGGCCACATCCTGTAGAAGAAGCATGTTGATTTTAAGATTAACAGGTTAAGGAGGGTCTCTCTGATTAAATGCATCTGCTCTGTTTTGTCTCTGAGCTCAGCTACTGATTGGATCCACACTCACTCCGTTCAATAAGCAGAATAAATCATAAAGACTGTGCCAGAGTCACACACACCCATTTTTTCTCATTTTATTCAGTGATAAATAATTTCCTATGATCATAGGCTTTATGTGAAGACATCCGATCAAGGCAAGAGACAAATTAGAGGGCACACATTGCCACCATTAGAAAATAATAGCAGAAACAAAAACAATGAGGTAAGAAGTTCTCTTTTTTTATACATTTGTGGTGCTTCTATTTCTGTTACCTATACTGTTGAATGCACAGTGCTTCCTAATACAGAAATCCTGCCTTTTGTGTCTGTACATTATTAAACAAAAACAGGTCATGGCACAATACTGAACCAACCAAAGACAGGGCACTGCAGAGTGTGGAGTTAGCAGTATACATCATCAGACCCAGAGTAAGAAAAGCTGAGCGGGAAAACGGAAATACAAAACAAAAACAAAACTAAGACTTGGCAACTGAGCTCCGTGATTGATTTAACACAAACACACACACCTGATCTGAGATCTGAGTGTCAGTAGGTCGTATAGTCCCCAAAATCTGTGTAAAAATATAAAATACAAGCCTATAATGTCTATTTTTTTTATATTAGTTAAAGTAAAATGAATCTTCCTATTTCCATAATTGATCCCTTAATTTATTCTTTAAGCAATCAGATTTGCCATCTTGCTTTGTCTCTTATGTGAAACTATGGGTTTATAAACTGGTCTTGTGACAGCTGAAAGGAGGGATGGCTGTGTTACGCTGCTTTCTACAGACCAGAGGTTTTTAATAATTATTACAAATGTCCATCGCGAATAAACAACCGTAAATCTGCTTAGAAATCATTAAAAAAAGACACTTAATCCTCCAGAATTTGCCTGACAATCTTCATGTTTTACAGTTTTCTTCAGTATCATATAATCCAGTGATAGTTGTCTGTACGTCAATGGGTACATTGCAAGCAAGAGGTATTAATAGCTAATTTAGCAGACTTTTAATCGTCAAAATGTGAACAAATATAGGCGACAAAAACAGGCCTTCCTCTTTACATCCCCCCAAATTATAGCCACTATAGTTCCAAAACTTCGAGCATGATTGTGAACGAAACCAGAAAAAAACCCACCAGCTCCACCTTGATGGAGGCAGCACAGCCAGAAACTTGAGCTAATTAAAGCGAGCCATGGGGCTTGAATTGAAGCTCGCGCTGATCTACACCTCGCCGCTGTCGGCCAAAATGAGCAATTTGAACACACCACCGAGGGCTCTACAAACTTAATAATGGGCAGATATTCACGACTTTCTGAGGTTAATTAGAGTGATTGTGAAAATAATCCAGACTATAAAAGACAATGATGGTTAGTTGAAGCCCTAATATGTGGATTTACACAGTACAGACAGTGTGTGTGTGTGTGTGTGTGTGTGTGTGTGTTTTACATTCACGGGCCTCATGGGCAGCACACTGAGGCACAGCCCCCATGCATGGACCTGACCTGCAGTCCCGGTGCCTTCACTGTTATACAAAACAAGACAAAAAGAAAAACGCTCCTGGCTCCCTTCTTTCCTGTCCAAAGGAGAATACCACCAAATCTCAGCATTCACGTGTTATTTCCACACCTTAGGTAACTTCAGTTTCTATTTCTAAGCGTCAATATACTGTCTGCTATAATTAGTGATGTATGAGTTCATCTCAACTCCACAGCGAAGTTTGAAAAGGTCACTGTTCTTGAGGCTGCACTTATCAGAATTAAGATTATTACTAACAATACAAGGAGGTGTGTTTATGTTCAGATGATTCTTCTCTAAATTCACAGTCTTCTAATTACTGCCAAAGGATGTTTATCAGCGCGTATCGGTGGGTTTAGCTTAGCAAAATAGCCGCCTACGCTCACTAATACTGTGTTGCTGTCCGTGTGAATAACATAATGCGAGGTCTTCCATTGAGTGGCATTCTCCTTTACGGTACCTGACTGAACTCCTGTTTCGCTGCCCAGAGAGGTCACCCCTCCTCGCTACCTGCTCGGAGAAAAAAAAAAAAAAAGAGAGGCGGCACACCTGCACCTTTCCTCTGGTCCACAGCGGCCTGTGAGCTGGCCCGTGAGCTGGCCCAGACAGCTGGGCTCACAGCTGCTCTCCCCAGACACACACCTGGGGCCGTGTGAAGTGACGGGCGGGAATAAACTCTGCTCTAAAGCCGAGCTGGCAGAAAACCCTCCGGTTCCCCTCTACGATTCAGTTCAGTGAACCTCAATTACACTCGAGCCACTTCAGTGGAAAGGAGGCGGGGGTGGAAGAGAAAAGAACACAAAATGTAACAACAACATAAAAACACACAACTGAAATAGCTAAGAGAAGCCAAAAATAGCGACAGGAGCGGTCGTGACGGCGCAGACGTGTGCTGAGGGCGGGGGTCAAGACGAGGAGCGGCTGTAGTGGTCCTCAGGAAAATGTGCGCCAGCATTGTGGCCGCAGTTGCCATGACAGCAGCACATTAAGCAGCCTTTTTCCCCCCCAACGGAACAACAACAGAGAGACGGCCATATTTTAAATCAACAGTGGCAGGGTGCTGAGACAGCCCTCGCTCACACTCCTCCCCCCTCCGTGCCCCCCGTTTAGTGTTTTGTTCGTTTTCATTTTTTTTTTTTAGTCGTTAGGTTCTCCGCGGTGCTGCGGTCCCTTGACACATAATCAAAGACTTCCCTGTATCAGGCTTCTGGCCAGAGTTTGTGGTTTTTGATTTTCAGTCATTCTGTGTTTTTGTAAATCCCCGTAACGTTTTCCGAGCCCCTCGTGTCGGTCCAGAGGCGGGCGCGGTCGAGTCCTCAGCCTGGGAGGCAAACTTTGCCTGCAAAGAGAAGTCCCACTATGGTGAAGAAGATGGAGAGGACGAACAGCACGTACGAGGAGCCGACCACCGTGTTGTTGGGCAGCTTGTACGGCTGGCCTCCCACTTCGTTGATATAGAAGCCTATGGGGAAGATGAGCGCCGCCATGCAGAACAGGATCACTGGAAGGGAGGAGACAGAGAAAATGTTAGTTCACACATATGATTAGTTCTGTACACCAACGTTACTCACTAGTGTTTCCCTGACGTGTCTAAATGCTAAACGTAAACCAAACTACAGACTCACTCAGTGACTAAACATACACCTGAAAAAATATGACCTCCGCCTACTTTCTAGCAAGAGGAGGAAGCGTGAACCCACTCAACTGCTCAAACTGAATTCAATTTTAGAAAGTTCATTAGCGGCGTACAATAGGGCCTTTCAGACGGCTTCGAAGGAGCAATTACACAAAGCAGACTCATGGTATTCACCGTGATGAGCATGACTCTGCCTCTCGTGCATTTACAGCCCTTTAATGTTTCCACGTTTCATTTAGAAACAGGTTAGATGTCATGGATTGTACATTATTGTGACGAACGCACAGAAACAGGAGCCAAAGAAAGAAGAAATAAAACCAGAATTTGTCAATTCGTTCATTTTTTTTTCTTTTTTCAGACTGAAATTATTCCTCATTTTACATTAACGTCTTCATTAGAAGAGGAGATAAAAAGAGCACAAATCATCGTGAATACTTTAATTTTGTAAAACTTCATTTGGTTCTTTTTTTTTAATCATTACTGTAGCTGGAGCTTTCTACAGACACTGGCCCCATTAACGTCTGTAACAGAGCTAAGAGCTAATAATCCAGCCTTCATCAACCGTGATTACTGTGGCTCGTTTCATTTGTTCAGATAAGAACAGCAGATTATCTCGTGTCATTGTTTATTTCATATTTTCCCAGTGTGACGGTGCAAGGGTGAGTCGAGGGGCCACGGCTATTTCAGACATCATAACAGCGGGACTAAGAGCAGAAAATGTTATAAAAGCTGAGATTACAGATACAAATCTTACAGCTTTGGTGAACTTTGTGTTTAAAATCACAAAGGTTTCAGCCTCTGATAGCAAATGCTGTAGTGGATGAGGACAGAAAGCTGAGGAACATGTTTCCTTCTTCAGAAAGGATGTGTGTTTGAGTTAGAGAGGGTGGTCCGGATGTGACGTCTCTGAAGAAAACAACAACATTATGTGTCACATGTTGCCACAAGGTGAAGGCAGCGCTGCATGAGGACACTTGGGACTGAATCTGTGTGAAAATGAGGAACTTAAACCGAAAGGTCGAAGACACAATGACTGTGTAGAGGCTCAAACTGTACAAGAACCCTATAAATACTGAAACGCTGATGTTTCCTGTCTATCTCTACAGTCACATGACAAACAGTCTAAACACAAACAAGAGCTACTGTACACACAACCAGTAGAGCTGCACAATTAATCCAATGTTAATCCTGATCACAATTTGGGCTCGCCGCGATGAAATGAACGTGAACGTCCAGAATATTGATGTTTAAAATGGTGCTCAGCTCACAGAAAACTCAGCTGCATCAAAATCAATCGCTTCCTAAACCAACAATCAGCCACCAGGGCGGTCGACGTGTTCTGGTTTCACTTTTGGGGAGCGGTCATGTTGCTGCAGCTGTAGCCGGGATACTTTGATTCCCAGAACAAAGCAGTGAAATAATGGTGATCTCAATATTGATAGAAATAATCGGGATCATCATTTTGGCCGTAATCCCGCAGCTCTACCAGACACACACACGATTAAAAGACGAGGCAGGACGTTTGCTCAGGTCTACAGCGCAGCACTAAAACTCAAAAATGCATTTAATACAGAAGCAGCAAAAAAGCTGGAGGCTTCAAACATTATGTTTCAGTCTGAAGTGCCTTAATTTGTTTCTTATTCTCCGGAAGATGCCTTCATGTTTATCCTTAAAGAGGTACTGCACACTGTTTTCTGAGCTGTAAACTAAATTATACGACTGTCGAGGATTCGAGGAATCACATCAATGCTGGTGTCATTTTTACCAAATTTATAAAAATCTTAATTTTATGGGTAGAAAATGTCAACGTGTTTCAAATTTCTGATAGTACTTGAAGGCAGCATTGCTCCACAACCCATTGAAAAGCATCCTTCAGGTATTTGATTTAATTTCAGCTCTGTAAAGTCAAGCTTTCTTTTGTGTGGCTTCGGGCAATTACTTTTTTGAAGTGCTTTCCTTGAGCCAGCACAAATCTACAGTATTTCCAACATTACTTGAATGCAGCATTAGTTTCTGTAAATGATTTCTCCACGAACCACAAATAAGCTCTTTATACCACCTCAGGCTGATTAACACAGTTTAACATTTCTTTACAGGCTTAAAAGGTGCAAATCAGTAATCAGATTTCAAGCTGCAGCCAGCTCCGTTGATATTAAATTTAATCCTGAAACAGAACGAAAAGACAAACATTAGAGGGCTGTGGAAGAAACCACATGTGTGCTGATGTTTCCCACAGCTGCCACTAGATGTTACATAAAAGACATCATTTACTGATAAAACCATGAGACAGACACATTATTACAAACCCGCTGTGCATCTACGTTGTGTAACTGTGCTGACTGAAAAAGGATTTAGTAGATTCAACACAACCCTCATCCAAAACCACTAAACATCCTTTTTGTAATTTCCCTCTTAGAGAAAGTTTATAAACACATTTCAGAGATTTTTTAGTCTTTACTGGTGTGAACAAAACACACTACTGGAACCAGTTCACAAACTGCAGCGGCTCACTTTAGTACCCGGGTTAGCTTCCCTGCATCTGATTTCTTAATATCAGAAGCCCCTGATTGAGTAGAGTAATCCATCATTTAGCATTGCAACCCTGTAACACCAGTGGACTCAAACCTGGCTCCTTTATTACCTACAATCTAATGTGGCATCGAACAGCTACAGAGTCTGAGCTCACTTCTTTCTAACAGATTTATTAATGTTCAAACGTGTCTTCAGCCTTAATTGATACTCTTTACATAATTGATCAGATTTCACGCAGTTTCCCCCACAAAAGGCTTTATACACTTTTCTTTTTAACAACCTGAAAACAGACTTTGATGTGTAAACTCTCTGCAGTTCCCCTTCGACCAGATTTGTAATTGGCTTTTTAACGAGTACGCATGTGCGTGAAGGACGTTCGCAGAGGGGAAAGCGTGTTGTGATGTTCTGCTCAGCGTGCGTCACGTTTGTTAACAGCTGCAGCGCGAGGCAGAGGTCAGAGGTCAGAGGTCATTACTAACTCTTATCGTACTGTGCAGGAAGGAGGCGTCTGTGATTGGAAAAGTGACTGCCACTAATTAGGACAGCTCCCTTTTCTTCGGTTTCCTCTGAAGACGTTATTACTGAAGCTTTTGGTCCACTTATGTAACACAGTGACGTTAATCAGCAAAGCCAACTGTGTGACTGTGTGAATCACAGATCAATGACTGTGCAGATCTGAGACCGTTGTATGTTGCCAGTGTGAGCCAGATGAACTGTAAACTGCAGCAGGTAGAGCAGCTCTTTAAAGTTAACACGGATTTATTTCGGTTCTCTCTAAAGTGTGCAATCTACTTGTGAAAGCACATGAAGCCATTTGTAGCTGTTCGGGACCTGAGGGGAGAGTTTTCCTGCTCTAAAAAAGTCTCACTGACGTCGTTTTGTTAACCAGGCTTCAGATAGAGGAGTGAATCAGGATATCGGGATTAAAAGACTAGAATTTATACAAATCACCCCGGAGATTAAATATCTTTTTAGGGACGGGTGATATGGATAAAATCATCTATCGTGGTGAAACAAATAGACAAGAATATTTGTTTTTGGCTAATCCATTAATCTAAATCCCTTTCGAGCGTGAGGGAGAAACCACAGCGTCAAAACACAAAAAACACACAAATGGAAAATCCTAAACTAATGAAAACATACCTATGACTTTTATATTTAATTTCTGCCAACAGATTCTCTGAAATGTTAAAACTGGACCTTTAATACATTCTTTATAAAAGTCAATCAGTACGGCTCACTTGTTTATAACTTTATCTACAATATCCTAATAAAACCAGAGATATTCATGAGATGCCAACCCTGAATAAATGTTTCACAATGTATATTTTATTATGTATATATATTTCATCTGAATAAGCTTAAGTGTCATGCAGCAACGTGATTAACTAATAAACTGTTTATATAGTTTAAAGTCGCATTAAAGCTGCAGTAGGTAACTTTTCTAAAGATTACAGCATTGCTCAAAGGAAAACTAAATCTTAAAATCCTTTTCTGACATGTAAGCCGTCACAAACTGTATAAAATAAGAACTTGAACTTGTTTTATCTTCCTTTGTTTGTTTTACATGCTACTT